GGCCCCCGGCCCCTCCTCCCTCAGACCCAGGGGTCCAGGCCCCCAGCCCCTCCTCCCTCAGACCCAGGGGTCCAGACCCCAGCACCTCCTCCCTCAGACCCAGGGGTCCAGGCCCCTGGCCCCTCCTCCCTCAGACCCAGGGGTCCAGGGCCCCGGCCCCTCCTCCCTCAGACCCAGGAGTCCAGACCCCCCGCCCCTCTTCCTTCTGTCCTGAAGGTATTTTCTTGAAGGAAGGTACTGTTGCCCCAGACACATTTCCACAGTGCAAGGACATGCTGGATCCTTGTCATGGAGCTCTGATGGGTCACTCATCCCCACCAAGGCCTGGCTGACTCTCACAGTCCATGTCACTAAATCTGGGCTTTCAGGATCCGACTCCATGGAAACCTCATTGTCTACTTCTTCCATTTCCCTGGGCTCTGGGTGACACACTGGGGAAGTCGCTCATCCTTTCTGGACCTAAATACACACACACACACACACACACACACACACACACACACACACACACTTTCCTGCCAGCAGCCAGCAGCTACTTCTTGCGTCCTCCCTGAAGATGCCGTTGTCACAGCTCAGTGCCTTCAAGAAGCGGACCTCTCTGCAGCCTCCACCCGAATCTGTATCCGGGGGACCTATGTCTCCCATCTTTTTTGGCCTCACCTCTTGTTCTGTCCAGGATGGACGTGTTTTTTTTGCTTTCTGTTTGGTTGTTGGGTTTTTTTTTTTTCCATTTTTTTCATTTTGAAATCCCTTCTGCTCCCACATGGCAGGTGCTCTGCACCAGCTCCCTATGAGCACGGAGCACCTATGTCCCAGGTGTGTGGACCTTGGAGCCATCCATGCCGAGGGCCTAGGCTGTTTGGAAGACCTTGCATTCCCCTGAGCCAGGCTGTGAGTCGTGGGCCCTACGACACGTGCAGGTGGACATACCCCCTGCTGACGATGCTTCACCCCTGCAGGGCAGGGCCTGCGTGCCTCTGGCTCTGGTACCCAGAACAGAGCCAGAAACGGGGAGCTGCTCCCTCCATGGGAATCTGTCCCACATGCCTTCTAGACTTTAAAAAGTGGGCCCACCAAGCACAGCAGGGTGTCCTGGATTGGACCCAGGGACAGCATAAGGTTCTTGGCTGAGGCATCTGACTGATGGTTTCTTTGTTCGGACAAACGTGGGGTGCTTGGCTGAGGGAGATATCAACCTGGTGGGAGCGAGGGATGCCTGGCACTTCTCAGCACCATCTCTCAAGCTGTTCCAGAAATCTAAAGTTATTCCAAAATAAAGGTTTATTTAAAACAAATTAAGTGAGTCCACAGTGGTCATCTTGCTGTAAACCTGGGGAGTAGCTGTGATATTCCAGGCCCCCCCGCCCCTCCTCCCTCAGACCCTGGAGTTTCTGCCTACCCCCCCCAACTTTGAAGTCTGTGGACTCAGAACGGAGACCTCCCCTCCCCTCCCCTCCCCTCCCAGTTGCTCCACCACCTGCTTCCCCTCTGCCCCAAGTCTGAGATCATCTCTCACTGCATCGTTCTGGAATCTCGTTGTCTCATCCTTTCCCCAAACAGGACCCCAGTGTCTCATCCCCTGGACACCCCTCACCAAACACTTGTGTCTGACCTGTCAATGGGGCATTGATGGGGCAGCTGGGTGGGGTTAAGGCAGGGGCAAGCTGGAGAAATGATGTCATCCTCTACAGGGGCCTGAACTCCTGGGTCTGAGGGAGGAGGGGCCTGGGGGCCTGATCCTGGGTCTGAGGGAGGAGCGGCTGGGGGTCTGGACTCCTGGTCTGAGGGAGGAGGGGGCTGGGGTTCAGGACTCCTGGGTCTGAGGGAGGAGGGGCTGGGGGCCTGGACTCCTCGGTCTGAGGGAAGAGGGTCTGAGGGAGGAGGGGCCGGGGGTCTGGACTCCTCGGTCTGAGGGAAGAGGGTCTGAGGGAGGAGGGGCCAGGGGTCTGGACTCCTGGGTCTGAGGGAGGAGGGGCCGGGGGCCTGGACTCCTGGGTCTGAGGGAGAAGGGGCTGGGGGCCAGGACTCCTGGGTCTGAGGGAGGAGGGGCTGGGGTCTGGACTCCTGGGTCTGAGGGAGGAGGAGCTGGGGGCCTGGACTCCTGGTCTGAGGGAGGAGCGGCTGGGGGCCTGGACTCCTTGGTCTGAGGGAGGAGGGGCCGGGGGCCTGGACTCCCGGGTCTGAGGGAGGAGGGGCCGGGGGCCTGGACTCCCGGGTCTGAGGGAGGAGGGGCAGGGGGTCTGGACTCCCGGGTCTGAGGGAGGAGGGGCCGGGGGTCTGGACCCCTGGGTCTGAGGGAGGAGGGCCTGGGGGCCAGGACTCCTGGGTCTGAGGGAGGAGGGGCTGAGGGCCTGGACTCCTGGGTCTGAGGGAGGAGGGGCCGGGGGTCTGGACCCCTGGGTCTGAGGGAGGAGGGCCTGGGGGCCAGGACTCCTGGGTCTGAGGGAGGAGGGCCTGGGGGTCTGGACCCCTGGGTCTGAGGGAGGAGGACTGGGGGTCTGGACCCCTGGGTCTGAGGGAGGAGGGCCTGGGGGCCAGGACTCCTGGGTCTGCGGGAGGAGGGGCTGGGGGCCTGGACCCCTGGGTCTGAGGGAGGAGGTGCTGGGGGCCTGGGTCTGGGACACATTTCTGACCGCAGCCAGTTCTAGGAATCAACACACGATGTCGCTCTGGCCCCAGTGGGGTAGAAGGGGCGGGACAGGGGGCGGGGCTTACGACCCCCTAGGTGGGGGCGGGGTCTGCCCCTGGGCAGGCCTCTGCTGGCATGGGATCTGGCGCTGGGCACTGGCCACAGCAGGCAGCGAAGGGTCAGGCAAGCTTTGGAGAAGGTGAGGTTTGGAGGCCGGAGCGCAGGTCAGGAGGCGGCAAGGGTTAAGCAGCGTGAGGTGGGCAGCACCTGATAGTGAAGCCCAGGAGTTTGCCACAGACCTAGGTCCCCCACAGGGTCCGGGGCTGAACTCTGAGGCCATAGAGTGGTTGAGTGTTAGGGAAACAGAGTCTGGGAGTCAAAAGACGTGTGAGTTGTATAAGGTTCCAGGAGAGGGGTGGGCTGGTGGTCCAGACCCCTCGTCTGAGGGAGGAGGGGCCGGGGGTCAGGACTCCTGGGTCTGAGGGAGGAGGGGCTGGGGGGACTGGATTTCTGGGTCTGAGGGAGGAGGTGGGTGGTGGCCTGGACTCTTGGGTCTGAGGGCGGAGGGGCTGGGGGCCTGGACTCCTGTCTGAGGGAGGAGGGGTAAGATCAGAGTTGGACCCCCGGCATCTCAAGACTTGGGGCTTTCTCCCATCCAGGTCCCCGCGTCCCCAAGGCCCTGGCGTGTGCAGCCGCCCTCCCCAGCCCCTGGAGGCAGAGAGCACCTGTTTGCTCTTAGGAGAAAGAGGCTACTCATCCACCCCAGGGCCCAAGTCTGTTTGCTTTGGAAACAAGGTGGGGGTGTCTCGAATTATCTGGTTCATCTTTCACCCTTGGGCCATTGGGTGGCGCAGGGATGTGGGGGCGGGGGCAAGAGACATCTGTGACCTTAGGCTTGACCTCACCCCAACCAACAACTGGTCTCCCCATTCCTCAGATGCAGCTAATGAAGAGGGAGACTGAGTCACAGTGGGAAGTGCCATTGAGCCCCCAGGCCCTCCTCCCTCAGACCCAGGAGTCCTGGCCCTCAGGCCCTCCTCCCTCGGACCCAGGAGTCCAGGCCCCCAGCCCCTCCTCCCTCAGACCCAGGGGTCCAGGCCCCCAGCCCCCTCCTCCCTCGGACCCAGGAGTCCAGGCCCCCAGCCCCTCCTCCCTTGGGCCCTGGGTCACTGTCTTTGCTCTGCCCTGCAGAGATGCCCGGCAAACAGTCAGATGAGGAGCAGGTGGAGGCGGGGGCTGCGGAGAACTTGGCCGAGGAGGACCTAGGGGGCCTCACGGCAGAGGAGCTCCGCCAGGGCCAGGAGGCAGCCCTGGAGCTAGAGGACATGATGGCGCTAAGTGCCCAGACCCTGGTCCGAGCCGAGGTGGACGAGCTTTACCAGCAAGTGCGTCCCCTGGGCCAGGGCCGGTTCGGCCGGGTCCTGCTGGTCACCCATCGCCAGAAAGGTACCAGGGCCTGGAGGCAGATGCCGGAGGGGCAGTGGGTGGCGGAGTGGGCGAGGCAGAAGCTAGCTGAGGCTGGGGGGTCTGTAAACATGAATCGAGTGTCGCCTCTTCCCCTTCTGGGCTGTGTGTTCTTGGGAACTCCACTACCCTCTCTGAGCCTCAGCCTCCTCCTTCGGAAATGCGGCTGATGATTCCTTCTCTGAAAAGGCTGTGCTCTTCTCTGAGCATATGTCGATGGCTCTGGTTGAGAGAAAGGGGGGCAAGACAGAGCCCCTCCCGTCTGGCGCTCACACGTGGCCAGCTTAGCGGTCACCATGGGGATGATTCGGAGCCATGCTGTCTGCCACACACTTAGCAAGGCTAGTGCACAGTGGGTGTCGGGGCACACTGCCCCCACCCCCATGGGCGCCTTTCTGCCCACGTGCACACATCCCTCGTCCTTCCCTTGAAACAGGGACAGTATGGACGAAACTCAGGGTTGGTGTCAGTTCAGAACACGCCTTCCAAGGCCTCCCTGGGGGCTCTGCCCTGTCCTGGGCTGTTGGTGCTTGGAACCCAGAGATGAGTCTGCGTCAGGCCTCCTCCAAGCAGGAGCTCCCGGACGGATAGGGACAGAGGAAGTACCGGTGTGCTTAGGCGGCCCAAACAAAGCCCCACAGGCAAGGGCAGCTGGAAACACGGATTTGTTTGCTCACACCTCTGGAGAACGGAAGTCTGGGACCCCGGTGTGGGCAGCGGTCTCCGAGGCCTTGCTCCTTGGCTTGCACGCGGCCGTCTTCTCCCTGTGTCCTCACATGTGCGTGTCTGTGTCCAGTTTCCTCCTTATTTATAGGGACACCAGTCACAGTGGACTGTGACCTCAGTTCACCTCTTCCAAGACCCCATCTCCAGGTCCAGTTATGCTCTGTGAAACTGGGAGTGAGGACTCCGACGTAAGGATTCAGGGAGGGGGGTGCACGGTTCAGCCCGTAAGAGAGCGAGGCAGAGAGAAGGAGATGCAGACGGGGGTCGTCACAGATCTTGGAGGAACCAGCAATAACGGGGTGCAGGAGGACACTGCTTCATTCCACCGTCTGGGTGCCCGCCCCTGCCCTGGGAGGCATGGAGGAGTGGGGGCGTGAAGATGGGGACGCAGCGCCCCGAGGGCTCTCAGCACAGGGCGAGCGCAGCGGGACAGACACCATCCAAATAGAAGGTGGCACGTGCCACGATGGCGCGAATCCAGGGTACGTGCAGATGGTTAGAAAACGCCCATCCAGCTGGGGGTGGAGGCACAGCAGTCAGCGTTCTAGGTAAGGAGGTGCCCTCTCTCTGTCACGCACGGCCTCCTGGTGCGCGAGGTGGGGCCCCTAGGCTGCTGGGGAGTCAGGAAATGAAAGACACCAGGGTTCCTGCCTTCAGGGGACTTCCGTTCCAGGGAAGGGCTTGCACGGATGACGACTTCCTTCCGATTCCTCCTTGACTGGATCGATTCCCCAGTGCAGGGCATCTTTTCTCCTGCTGCCTTCGACGTGGCTTTTGTGCCTGGGTTTTGTTGGAACGAGGGGCCAGACGTGTTCTGAGTTCGGTCTCCAGGGCTCCCCGCCGTCTGCTCCGAGACAGCAGCGCAGAAACTCACGAACGCCTGCGCTATTGGGGTCGTTACTGTGGGCGGTGTTTTCGTGGCCGACTAGGGTGGGCAGGAGCTGGGAGACATGGCGATGGCATGTGGGGACGAGTCCGGGCCGAGGGGCCGGCAAGGCGACCCTGGGCTCTCGCACTCCTTGCACACCTGCCCCCAGGCACTACCCTGGCCCTGAAGGAACTGCCAAAGGCCTCCACGTCTCTCCGCGGCTTCCTGTACGAGTTCTGCGTCGGCCTCTCGCTGGGCACGCATTCGGCCATAGTAGCGGCCTACGGCATTGGCATCGAGTCCGCCAACTCCTACAGCTTCCTGACGGAGCCTGTCCTGTGCGGGGACCTCATCACCTTCATCCAGCCCAAGGTGGGTAGGTAGACCCCGAGCGGGCCTCCGAGGGCCCCTCAGGGGCTCAGGAGTCACTCACCACATTGGGCTTCACCGGGCCCCTCATGGGGGCTCTCTGGAGCAGGGAGAACCGACGGCGTGCCCCACCGGACTCACCCAGGCCTCACCGGGGTTCACTGAGCCTCACGGGGGTCACATTGGACTTTGCAGGGTCACACTAAGCCCCACGGGGCCCAGCCACATGCTAGGCCTCACCATGGCATCCCTGGGGCTGAGATGTCCCCCGGGGCTGGCAGGGCGGGCAGAGGCCCTGATGCCCCCCATCCCCCCCCTGGGGCTGGCAGGGTGGGCAGAGGCCCTGACGCTCCCCGTCCCCGCCCCCGGGGCTGACAGGGTGGGCAGAGGCCCTGACGCTCCCCGTCTCCGCCCCCCCCGGGCTGACAGGGTGGGCAGGGGCCCTGATGCCCCCCCCCGGGCTGGCAGGGTGGGCAGAGGCCCTGACGCTCCCTGTCCGCTCCCTGTCCCCCCCCCGGGCTGGCAGGGTGGGCAGAGGCCCTGACGCCCCCCCCCCGGGCTGGCAGGGTGGGCAGAGGCCCTGACGCCCCCCCCCCCGGGCTGGCGGGGTGGGCAGAGGCCCTGATGCCCCCCCCCGGGCTGGCGGGGTGGGCAGAGCCCTGACGTGGTCCCCCGCAGGTGGGCCTCCCGCAGCCGGCCGTGCAGCGCTGTGCGGCTCAGCTCGCCTCAGCCCTGGAGCACATCCACTCCCGCGGCCTGGTGTACCGGGACATCAAGCCCGAGAACGTGCTGGTGTGCGACCCTGCCTGCCGGCGGGTCAAGCTGACTGACTTCGGCCACACGCGGCCCCGCGGGACCCTGCTGCGCCTCACCGGGCCGCCCATCCCTTACACGGCCCCCGAGCTCTGCTGCCCCCCGCCCCTCCCTGAGGGCCTGCCCATCCAGCCTGCCCTGGACGCCTGGGCGCTGGGCGTCCTGCTCTTCTGCCTCCTCACCGGCTACTTCCCCTGGGACCAGCCGCTGGCCGAGGCCGACCCCTTCTACGACGACTTCCTCATCTGGCAGGCGTCGGGCCGGCCCCAGGACCGCCCTCAGCCCTGGTCTGGCCTGACGCCTGTGGCCGACAGTCTCCTGTGGGGGCTGCTCGACCCCCACCCCCGGAAGAGGAGCCCCGTGGGCTCCATCCGGGACTACCTGGGGCGTCCCTGGAGGCAGCGCGAGGGGGAGGCTGAGGAGGTGGCCGAGGGGGACGGACAGTGAGGGAGGCAGCCCGGGTCCACTTCCTGCAGAGACTCGAAGGGAGCCGGGCGGGCCCCACATCCTGAGGTCTCCTCCACCTTCACGGGGTGGCTTGTGGCTTCCCTCTCGCCTGTGTGCCCCTCTCGGCCTTCCTCTCCTCCCACGTGGGCATTGTGTGTCCCTCTCGTGGCCTGGGGACCTCCGTGTCACCGTCACCATCTTCCCCAGGGCTCTGGCAAATGCTGTTGCCTTTGCCTGCTGTCTTGTGGCTCATCCCCTCACCTCCCGCTCCTCAGTGAGGCCCCCCCCCGGGCATTCGCACCTCCTCGCTCCGCCCCCTTCCCTCTGTGACATACACGTGTGCCTGTGTCCCGCTGGGGGGCAGGGGTCCGGCCTGTCCTGGGGGGTCCCCCGCGTAACTGTCGCCATCCTGGCCCGTAGCAAGGGGCCAGGAAACGCCTGCTTAATAAACGAACCCACGCGGTTTGTGTCCTGTCTTCCTGCCCGTGTTTCTCTCCTCCCCGGCTGGGCTTCACTGACCCCCGCTGCCCTGTCCTCTGCTCGCCCGCACGCCAGGCTGTCGCCCTCTTGATAACATGTCCTCTCTTCTCTCACCCAAGCTCAGCTGGCACCTAGGTCTCCATGGGAAAGACGAGGGCAACGCACACGCTGGAGGGTGTTGTCAGGGAGAGGGAGGGGGGCAGGGACAGGAAGGGTGGCGGAGATCGGTCCCTCCGTGTGGCCATGCTGTGCACCAAGGCCGCTGCACGCGTGTCTGTCAGCGAGCCCGCTTCTGCACGGACCGGGGTGTGAGCAGAGCCGAGCGTCAGAGCCCGTGTGTGTCGTGGCGAGCCGCTGAGGGTGTGGCCGTGTCTCTGCGGGTGGTGTGATTGTGTGTTTTGTGTGTCTGAGCGTCTGAGCCTGTGTGTGAGGGACTGGGTGTCTGCGTGCGCCTTGCCCTGTGTGTGAGGACATCAGGCCCGTGTTTGTGTCAAGACCAGAGCGTGTGTGGTGTGTGGAGCAGGAGAAGAGTCACCCAGGCTCCGCTGCCAGTCACCAGCTGGGCCCCTCTCCCCCTCACACCTCCCCCCGCACCCCGGCCCCTTCTTGGCAGCTCCCCTGTTTGCAAACACTCTGTCTTCCTCTCCTCGCCCTCTTTGGCCACCAGCCCAGAGCAAGGCTACGACTCGGAGCCAGATCGTGTGTCACTCTCTCCCAAGCCCTCGCCACCCCCTCCAGTGCCCCTGCTGTGGCCTCAAGGTGCTACATGGGCAGGGGTTGGGGGGGCTGCTTCGGAGTGACCCCAAAGGCCCTTGAATCTAGGTTCAATTCAGACGATAGGGACACTGGCCCCTGTCCTAGGCAATCCGGGTGAGCTTCCTGGAGTAGGAGGCCACTGGAGAGAACAAGACAGGAGATGTGGATAAGTGTGGGGGGCGGGGGGGGAGGCATGATCAGGACCTCCTGCTGTCTTACCCGTGAAACTGAAATAGCCTGAGCCATCAGGCCAAGAATGTGTCCCAAAGAAACTGGAGGTGGCTGGGGCAGGGTGGAGGCAGGTAAGAGGCGAGTGGAGATAGGCAGGGGCAGGCAGGCCCCCCCAACCGGCATGGGGCATGGCAGCGGGTGTTAATTGGTGGCAGAAGCTGAGGATTAACTGGGAGGTGATAATCACCCAGTGGGGGGCCGCAGGGCAGGGCAGGGGAGGACCAAGACTCCCAGGAAAGGCCTGGAGGGGGCAGGGGCAGTGCTAATTAAGCATTAGCTGCTTATTGAGTATGATTAATATGAACCATAATACTTAACACTAATGAAGCCTTACTCCTCAAGCAACAGCCCCCCTCTGCCCCCAGACACATCTGCCCGCTCACTAGGACCCTCCCCACTTCACAGGTAGGGGCCCCAGGGGCAGCCAGGTCAGCCAAGGTAGCAGCTGAGCTCCCGCCACGGGGCAGGGGCAGGGCCAGGACTCAACCCAGACTGCGTCCTCAGGCTGTCCGGCTGCTGTCAGCGCCAGAAGGGTCCGGCACAGGGGGCTGCGGCTTGCGTGAGCATGACTCAGTGCGAGGGGTGCGTGTGGGTATGTGTGTGCGTGAGTGTGCATGGGGGCTTGTGAGAGTGTGCCTGCGGCTGGGAGGCAGACACCCTCCCTGGGAGGCATGGGCATTAAGGGTAGGGGTGAACAATGGGAGTTCACAGAAGCCTCCAGACCCACTGACACGTGTTGGTGAGGAGGTGGAGAAGCTGGGCCCCCGAGCCGTGCTGGGGGGACGTGACATGGCGCAGCCACTGTGGAAGCCGGTCTGGCAGTTCCTCAAAGCATCAAACACAAAATTACCATGTGGCCTGGCAATTCCGCTCCTAGCGTGTGCCCACGAGGAGTGAAAACATGCGTCCACACTGATATTCACAGCAATGTTACTCACAATAGACAAAAGGTGGAAACAACCAACATGTCCATCGACAGATGAGTGGATGAACGAAACGTGGTCCATCCGTACTCTGGAATATTACTCGGCCGTGAAAAAGGAACACAGGGAGCGCTGATCCATGCCACAGCATGCACGGACCTCACAAACACCATGGGAAGAGAGGGAAGCCAGGCGTGGGAGATGATCCACTGCAGGATTCCATCGCGGAAATGTCCAGAACAGGCAAATCCACAGAGGAGCAAAGACTGGTGGTTGCCGGTGGGGGGGGGGTTTGCTGGGGGGGCGATGGGAACTGGCTGCTAAGGGGCACAGCTTTTCTTCTTGGGGGTGGTGATGGTGGTGGACATGTTCTAAAATTAGATTTTTGTATGTGTTGCACAATTCTCTGAATATATTAAAAGCCAATGAATTGTACACAGAGAAAGGGTGAATTTTATGGCATGTAAATTTCATCTCCATGAGATGAAAAAAAAAGCCAACAAACAAAACACCACAAAACGGGCTTTTCCAAGGTTCTCATGCCTTGAATGGTTTTCTTTCCTTCTCAGGCCTCGAATCCCCATTAAAGAGAAAGGAAAAAGCCCTACCCTCTTGGTAATAGCTCTGAATTAACCACAAGCCAAGCCCTTAAATTCTGGACCCACTCCCTATTCCCCCTGCATTTTACAGAAAAGACCACTGAGGCCCGGAGAGGGAAGACCCTACTTTCCAAAGAGCCTGAATTCCAATCCGGCTCTGGCCTGATTCCAAAGTCTTTGTTCTTAAAACCCGTCTAGCACCTCTAAAGTGTCCCCTGGGCTGGGGAACCCCAAGCTTGTAAGCAGGGCCATGTGGGTGTCCAGTGCAAAGTGAAAGTGTGGAGTTTCTCGTTAAAAAAAAGACAAGTTTTTCCGTCCCCTCTCTCTCCCCCTCTGCATGGGGAGGCCGGCTGGTAGACCCTCACGGGGATGCAGCAGGAATCCAGCCACCAAGCCCATCAGGGGAGTGACTTGGCCTGAGCCCAAGCTTGCGCTGCACTGTCCCATCCACCTCACTTACAAAACACAAAATGAAAACCCATGAGGAAGGGTTACGGTAAACCCTTACGGCCGCACCCACCCTGCACCCTGCTTGCGTGGGGGACGGGGGGAGTGTGCCTTGGGCCAGAGCAGGGCCAGCAGGGAAGCCTCTAGAAACAAGCTCTTTGGCAGTAATCTTCTGCAGTTTGGTGCTAGTGCACAGATATGCAAATGGCCCGAGGCGTCCTTCTCACACTGGAAGCCTGCCAGCCATGAGTCACCTGCCTCCTTATTACAACCTGGATTCTGACCTGGCGGGTCTGAGGTGGTGCCGGTGAGCTCCACGCCGCCAGTGCACGCCTCCCACTTGCTGGTACAAGAGACTCAGCTCAAGAGTACTGATCCCGTATCCTGGCTAAACTCTTAACAGCACTGACCATTTGTCTGCTGGATTCCTTGGGGTTTCCTATGCGGACAGTCATTAGCGCCCACGGGAAAGGACAGATCTGTGTCTTCCCGTCTGCCCTCCGTGTGATTAAGGAAGTCCCCTCTGCTCCCACTCTGCCAAGAGAGTATGTGTGTACACCGTGAATGGGTGTTGAATTTTCTCAAATGCTTCCTGTATCAGTCGACCTTGCTAGACCTCTGCAGCTACTGTTCTGGGCCTGATGCAAGCTGGCGGGCACCGCGGAGGGCTCAGCTGTCCCGTGGGAGGTGGCCAGGTCAGGGCCAGCAGTAGGTGGGGGCTGCCATCCACCCTGGCCGTGGGCCCCGGGGCCAGATGTTTGGGCTTAGCAGCCTGGCCAAGCAGGGATAGAGTGACGGGATAATTAAGCACTCGCTTCTCTGGGGCTGCCAGAAGGCAGCAGAGGGTGGACAGACCTTGGGCCAGAGTCCCCTCCCCAACCTCGGCTCACTGACGGAGCAGCCTGGAGCCTAAAACCCCACGGGGCCCTCTGGGGGGGACCCAGAGTTGGGGTGCACCTGCTCCAATCTGCAAATGGGAAAGCAGACCTCTGGCTGCAAGTTGGTGTGCCGTCCTGTGAGCCTCTAACTACCTAGGAGGGAAGGGGAAGGTGAGCAGGGCCCCCCCCACCCCGCCTCTTCCTAGTTTGCTGGTCAGCAGTTCTGTAAGTCTGGGGCTTAATGAGACCCGGGGAATAGAATTCCCCGCGTGCTCCTTCGCCTGTTGACGGGGGCAGGCAGTCCATCTATCAGGACCCCCGGGCATTATCCCTCCCCACCCCCAACGAGTAACTGGACCCCGCTGGCCTTTGCAGGACGGCGGGGGCGCCAGCTCCATGACCTTCCAGCACCTCTGAGCCAGGCTCCCGACCGACCGGGGAGAGGAGGAGGAGGAGGGAGCGGTCTCCTGCATGAGGCCACAGGAGCTGGAATCAGAGCTGCGGGTCTTTCAAGATGGCCCCCACTTTACAAGCCGAGGCCCAGAGAGGGGAAGGGACCCACCCAAGGTCACTCAGAGAGGGGCCATCAGGAACCCCAGGGCAAGGTCAAAGCAGGGGAGTTTGCACTGCATTATTCTGGGTTTGAGTTCCTGCTCTGCTGTGTGGCCTTAAGCAAAGGGCTTGCCCTCTCTGAGCTTCAGTGTCCTTTTTGGAATGGGGATGGAGTTCCTCCTGCAAAGGGCTGTGGTGAGGATGGAATGGTCACACTGGGTCAGGCACACGGAAGTGCCTCAGGGAAGGGGTCCTGATCATCCTCGTTAACTGAGCACGATGTGCCGAGCTCTGTCCTAGCCCACACTACCCCCCTCACCTCACAACCACCACCACCCCAGAGGCAGGCACTGGTACTATCTCTGTGCACCAGTGAAGACACCGAGAAAGTTTCTGTTCAGAGAGAGGAAACAAAGCACCAGAGTCCCATGCCTGGAGGCAGTCTCAAGTCCCGGATGGTTGGCTTATGAGCGAGGACCCTGGGTCAGACAAGCCTGGGTCCCCGTCACGGCTCCAGTATGTGTTCCCTGAATGACTGGGGCCTCGGTGCCCTGATCTGTGAAAAAGGGGATACGCACAACAACAGCTATCCCAGAACGAGCACTTACCAAGAGCCCGGCTCTGTGTTATGCACACCTGTGTACACATTATCATTTAATCAGCACAACAACCCATAAGGTGCATACTTACTACCCTCCTTTCATAGCTGAAAACACTCACACCTAGAAGTGAAGTACTGGCTCCGCCTCACAGCCACAGGGACTGGAATTCAGGCATTCAGTCTCCAAAACTCACCCTTTCTCTGCTGGGCTGTGCTAACAGTACCCTCCTCAGCAGGTGTCCCTGAAGATAAAGTGACGTTAGGCACGTAAAGCCCTGAAAACAGAGCCTGACCCAGAGGAAGTACCCAACAAATATTAGTCATTTTTACTATTGTCATGCACCCATTCATTCAAAAGGTATTTGTGGAGTGTGCACCCTGCATCAGGCTCTAAGAGCCGGGCTTTCCTCTGTGAACCAAAGACTCCTGCCTTCATGGGGCTTCCTTCATCAGTGCCCACGGTGGCATCATTTCCATGGCCATCGTCTCCATCATCATCTTCATCACCACGATCATCACCATCACGCCCATGACCACCTTCATCATCGTCATCACCACCATGACCAGCGCCAACATTACCTCCATCACCATCGTCCTCGTCACCACTGTCACTATCATCATCGTTGCCATTATTAAGTTTACCATCACCATCACCACTACATACAGTCACTATAACCATCATGACCATCACCCGTCGTCACCAACATCCTCACCATAAAACCAGTGCCTTGCACGGTGCCTGTGGAATTCACAAATCAAGGTCAATCTTGTGATTCCATCTCTCTGAGGTTCCCCCAGGTCCCCACAAATGTCATGGAGATCTTGCTTTTAATCAGATATTTTGGTTTTCATGTTTTGGTTGGGAGCACCTTAAGTCCCTCAAACCCCACACAGGGTCACACATCTCCCCTCAGAGGCCTTTCTTCCTCTCCTGGGGGGGTGGTGGTGGGCGCAGGGGTGCTGGGGGGCCGGGCTCTCTCGGCCAGCCCCCTGACAACCTCAGCCAGCTGCCCCAGACCCCGGGCGGCCTCCAGCAGCTGAGGCAGCCCCAGTTCCAGGGCTTGGCGCTGCCGCCGGTCCTGCTCCAGGGCCTGGGTCAGCCTCTGCAGCTGGCCACTCACGTCCCTCACAGCAGCCACCAGCTCGACCAGGGCAGGCGGCTCGCAAGCCATGACCCTCACAGGTGGCGCTGGAGCCACACATGGCCCAAGGGGGTCTGGGCTCTGCCCAGGGGTTGGCCTTAGCGTGAGATGGTCAGGAGGAGGTTGGTCCAAGGGGTGGGCCATGGAAGACAGGTGGAGGTCAGAGGTCACTGTGGGGTCAGAGGCTGAGTGCGGGGTCTGTGTGGGTGGTAGAGTTGGTTTGGGGCTCTGGTTACTCAGTGGTTTGAAATCCTCAGTGGACAGTGTGTCCATGCTTGGGCCTGGAGAAGGCCTGGGGTGGCTGGACTCTGAGGCTGGAAAAGGCACTAGGCTGGACATCTGAGAGAGAAGAGGGGTCCCCATGGAGGTCAACCAGGGGTGTAGGCTGGACTTGACTGCTGGCGCTGGAGTGGGAGAGAACAGTTCTGTTCCCAAGGAAGTTAGAATGGACTTGACATTGACCATAGGGGTTGAGGTAGAGTCAGCAGTCACGGTGGGGTGAGTAGAAGCGGTAGAGTGAGGGGTCGTGGTGGAGTCAGGGGTCGTGGCAGGGTAACGGGTTGTGATAGGGTGAGGGGTTGTGGTGGGTTGAGTGGTGGTAGAATGAGGGGGTGTGGCGGACTCAGGGGTCGTGGTGGGGTTAGGGGTTGTGGTAGGGTGAAGGGCTGTGGTGGGATGAGGGGTTGTGGTAAGGTAAAGGGGTGTGGTGGGGTGAGGGGCTGTGGTGGGTTGAGGGGCTGTGGTGGGTTGAGGGACTGTGGTGGGTTGAGGGAGTGTAATAGGTTGAGGGGTGGTGGTGGGGTGAGGGGTCGTGGTGGTGGGGTGAGGGGTCGTGGTGGTGGGGTGAGGGGTCGTGGTGGGGTCAAGCATGGTAGTGTATTGAGAGGTAGTGGAAGGGTGAGAGGTCAAGGTAGAGTGAGGGGTGGTAGTGGGGTAGGGGCTTGTGGAGGGATCTGGGGATCTGGAATGATCTGAAACTGAGTTGGGGTATGGAGCTGTGTCCACGTTTGGGATTGTGTCAGATTCTGGAGTCAACCCTGAGGTAGAAAGAAGGTGGGTCACCATCTCTGGTGCAGAGGGGTCAGAGGTCAGCTCTTTGGGCAAGGTGGGTGGTGGGGTGGGTGAGAGATCCGCAGTGGATGCTGGAATCACCGTGGCGTCAGGGGTGGACAAAACGAGGCCAGGGGTTGTCAAGGCGGGGTCAGAACTCATCCGGGAGGTCAGGTCCGGGCTGGGTGGCAAAGTGTCAGGAGGGTCAGAGGTCACCTTCCGCGTTGAAGCTGCCTCAGGAATGAGCCACGGCGCAGAGTCAGAGGTCACCGAGGTCACCGGTGAAGCGGAGGGAGCTGGGGAAGGAGCAGGGGGCGCCCGGGACGCTGTGGGGCGCTGCAGCCGACGCTCCGGCCACAGTTTCCTCTCAGAACCTGGAGGAGGCAAGACGGATGGCCGAGGTCAGTCGGCCCCACCTACTCCCGGGGCCCGCCACGCCCCTCCAGGGAGGCCTACCAATGAGAAGGCGCAAGGCCTCGTGACGTCGTGGGTCGCCGGCAGACTTCACCCCACCCCAGCGCCCCACCTCCCCACCTCCTGCGACGTCTCCGGGCGCCACCTGGTGTCCTCCATTGAGCGTGAGGGACGCGTGGGACAGGGCTACCTCAGAAGGCCGGAGGCGGCAGAAAGGTGGGGGGCAGCGGGACGGTGGGGGCACTGGAAGGGAGACGCAGGAGTGGGGGGGATGTGTAGGCTTACCTCGCGGATGCAGGAGGGGCTGAAGGGGCATATGAGGGAGGGATGGGGGTGATGCCAGAAGGTGCAAAAGCATGGGGTGCAGGGTGGTTCCGAAGGGTAATCTCAGTAACCAAGATTTTTATGTCACAGTTGTAAGGAATATTACTGCAAAAGATCCACTGTGAACAAAAAAGTCAAAATTGTAACCCAAGACAGGATCCGACTGGCCACATGATTAGGGAAAGTCGAGGTAGATAGGAGCCTGCCTTTAGTTAAATTTTTGATATTTAGCTCATTGTGAATGTTTTGCACTAATTTGGATTTTTAAAACTATGAAGGTATTATCTACCTTGATTACTGAGTGTCTGGGCAGCACCTTAACTTTAGGGCCTGAGTAGAGTGAGAAGCCTCACCCTCTTCCTGGCCTAGCTTCCACGTAAGTGTGGATTTTATCCCTCTTTGCAGATGTGGGGAGTCAGGCCTAGAGGTAAGTAACTTGTCACAGGTGGCACAGATACAGTTCGCAAATTGTGGGGAAAAGATATGAAGCAATGTCCTCTGCATTCAGAGTTTAGACCACTAAGTATCACTTTCTCAGTGATGGAAATGGTAACAGGGGGCTACTGGGTACTGGAAATGTGGCTAGTCCGCCCAAATGAATGTTTCATTTTTTTTCCCACATTTTTGATCATTTAAATTTAATTAGCCACCTGTATTGGTAGCTACATTTTGAATGACACAGCTCTAGAGAATTCTAGTTTTCCTGTAGGATTTTCGCGGTGTGTCTTATTCCTGCCTTGTGTTTACAGTGTTGGAGAAGCTGTTAAGTAAAGGGCTTGGCCTCCAGCCAGGCTCCCTGGGCTTACACCCCAGCTCTGTCACTTCCTAACTGGGTGACTGTGGACACAAAGTTACACAAATGTCTTGAATCTGGGTTTGTGGGTGAGGTGTCAAGAGGATTCAGGAAGCTCCTGTGTATACAGAGCACTTAGCACAAAGCCTAGCACGTAATAGACACTCTTATGATTATTAATACTGTCATGGGCATTGATGTCTGTACCTCGATTTCCATCATCAGTGAAATGGGTAGAATTATAACACCTACATCATAGGGCTCATGTCGATGTTCTGAGGGTTAAAGGGACAATATATATAAAGTGCTTAGAATAGTACCTGACATGCGGCATATTGCTCAGTAAATGTTAACTGGTTTTAGTTACTATTTCAAGAATCTCAGCTTGCGTAGGGACTGTAGGGGTTCCGAACCCTTGAGTGGAATTTTTAATTTTTCAGAGCGAAGGTGCCAAGAGCTAAGCTGATCGTACGCCTCTGTACATTATTACCAACAGTCCTGCACGGTCTCCTCTGTCTTTTTCTCCTTTTTCCTCCCCGATTTCCATCCCTCTCACTTTCTCCCGTAGCTACCCCCTTTAGTGTATTCGACATATATCCTTAAAGATATGTATGTTCTTACACAATATAGAATCCACATATGTTAACATATTAAGTGTGTGTGTGTGTGTGTATATTTTTGTGTTTGTCCTTTTAGTTTTTGTAAATCACATTCTGCTGGAGATTTCACTCTGGTTCTTTCTTCCTTCATGTTATGTTGTTTGTACCTACCCACGTTGCTGTGTATACAGCAGGTCATTGTTTTAGCTATTGCATGGGGTTCCATCATGTGCACTCATTGCATTCCGCTTGTTACCCATGTCGGACACTTAACTTGCCTCCAACTCCCTGATGTCATAACATTCCAAAGAACACCTTCATATATGTTTCCCGTATAAGCCTATTTAAGAATTTCTCTGGAATATAGATTTAGAAGCAGGATTGCTGGGTCATAATGTACAATCATATTTAATTTCACTAAGACTTTTTAAAAGTTTTCTTTATTTAAGTAATCTCTACACCCAATGTGGGGCTCGAACTCCCGACCCCAAGATTAAGAGTTGCATGCTCTTCCAACTGAGCCAGCCAGGCTCCCCTAATTTCATTGAATTGTTTTTACCGAATCGCTACATCCAGTGGGGATGTCTGTCTCCTTACATCCTCACCCACACTTGATATTAGCTCCCTTCCAATTTTCATGCTTGTCATCATTTTAATTTGGATTTCCTGATTCCTTCTGAGTGTGAATGTTTCTATACATACTTGTTGGCCACTTGGGCTTCCCCTTCTGTGAATCACCTGTTCATAACTGTTACCCATTTTCTTGGAGGGTTTCCTGTCGTTTTCTTACTGATTTGTCAGCGTGAATTGCAGAATATAGGCTAGGATTTCCCAAACCTGGGCATTGTTGGCATTTGGGGCTGGGATTCTTTGTGGTGGAGGACTGTCCAGTGCAGGGTAGGGTAATCACAACACACAACACACAACACACAAACCACAACATCCCTGGTCTCTACCCGTTAGGATCGAGTAGCCTCTCTTCTCTTAGTCGTGACAAGCCCGAACATCTTCCGATATTGCCAATCGTGCCCAGTTGGGAACCACTGATGTAGATTATAACCCCTTGTTTCAGGATGTATTTCTGTTGAGCCCATGGGGTAAGAGCAGGGTCCCCATTGGGAAATTCGAAGTCCCTCTCTCTACCCCAGAAAACAAACACCCTGGTCCCCTCGCCACAGCTACACGCCTCACCTGTATCTCCATGGATCCTTGGAGCTCGAGAGGGGTGGCCTGGGTCCTGGGTGGTGCCAGTGGTAAGAGTGGCGGGTGTCCCCTTGGGCAGAGCCCCTGCGGAAGGTGTACCCCATGTCCGGGAAGGATCATAACCATCCTCATCACCTTAAGAGATAAAGGGAGAACTGAGTCTCACTTCTCTTGGTTTTGACCCTCTGTTCATCCTGGACCCCAATTCAGGTCTCATCCTGTCTCACCTGGACCACCACCTCAATGTCCTCCCTGACCCCACAGCCACCCTGGGGACTCAGCTGAGATGCTCTCAACTACCAATAACAGACGCTGCGACTAAACTAGCTTCTAAAGTAAGAACAGTTATTATTTCGGGGTGCCTGGGTGGCTCAGTCAGTTAAGCGTCCGACTTCAGCTCAGGTCATGATCTCACAGTTCGTGGGTTCGAGTCCCGCGTCGGGCTCTGTGCTGACAGCTAGCTCAGAGCCTGGAGCCTGCTTCAGATTCTGTATCTCCCTCTCTCTGACCCTCCCCTCCCTCACGCTGTCTCTCATTCTCTCTCTCTGTGAAATAAATTTAAAAAGACATTAAAAAAAAAAAGAACAGTTATTTCAATTTCCTGAAGTCCCTGCCCCTCCTCATTCTTTATTTTTTCCTGGGGGGTATGGGGTGGGGTGGAAACCCTGTATTTAGTAATGAACTACCAGGTATATTTCCATAATATCTTTCCTATGTCTTTTGGATAATCTCTACATGAAAACAATTTTATATAACATAGAAATGTATAATATATAGCTGACCCTTAAACACCATGGGTTTGAACTGTGCAGGTCCACTTATATGTGAATTTTCCCCATAAATATAGTACAGTACTGTAAATGCATTTTCTCTTCCTTATGATTTTAATAACTTTTTCCTCTAGCTTACTTTCTTGTAAAATTTCAATGCAACAGACACACACAGATTCATACATACAAACACAAAATGTGTTCGTTGTTTATGTTATCGGCAAGGCTGCCAGTCAACAGTAGGCTATTAGTAGTTAAGTTTTGAGGGAGTCAAAAGTTACATGTAGATTTTCAATTACATGGGAGGTGGTGCACCTAGCCCCCATGCTGGTCGATGGTCAGCTGTGTAATATAAAAATAGACCCTTTTATAAATGTAAAATATACCATTTTATATAAGGAGAATAGAAAGATTGAAATCAGTCTTCTAGCTTGATCAAAACACTTATTTTAGCCATAGCTTTGTTCAGATATAATTCACATACCTTAAAGTGTACAACTCAGTGGGTTTTAGTATATTCAAAACGTGCAACCATGAAGTCCACGTCCCTCATCTCCCTTCATCAACTGTCCCCTGCTGGCCTCTCCAGCGCCTTCCACACCGGACCAAACCTTGAGGTGCTCACCTCTAGCCTCTGTGCACCTCTGGGCCTTTGCCTGTGCTGTTACCTCCCTCACTGGAATCCCCTTCTCCTCCATAAAGATGTGTTCCCACTCTGCGCATGAAACCAGGCCAAAGGATGGTGTCTGACACCCTGAGCTCTTTGGCTAGCTGTCCCAGGTGCAGAAATCCCTGGCTTTGTCACCTAACACATTACCTGCTAACAGAACAAGGGTCAGTCTTCATCCTGATGCCCAGCATTGCACATACTATAGTTATGGCTCTCTGTTAACTATTCTTAAATATTTTCCCCGTGCCTGATAAATACCTTAAGGCGATAGCTATGAAACCGTACCTGATGGTCATACTCATTAGGAATTTTAAAAACCATTAGTAGCACTATTAATTAAAAATGGAGGGGTGCCTGGGTGGCTCAGATGGTTAAGTGTCTGACTTTTTTTTTTTTAATGTTTTATTCATTTCTAGGAGAGAGAGAGAGAGACAGCGTGAGCAGGGGAGGGTCAGAGAGATAGGGAGTCACAGACCGAAACAGGCTCCAGGCTCTGAGCTGGCAGTCAGCACAGAGCCGGATGCGGGGCTCGAACCCACGAACCGCGAGATCATGACCCAAGCGAAAGTTGGACGCTTAACCGACTAAGCCACCCAGGCGCCCCATTAAGTGTCTGACTTTGGCTCAGGTCATGATCTCACTGCTCATGAGTTCCAGCCCCACATCAGGCTCTGTGCTGACAGCTTGGAGCCTGGAGCCTGCTTCGGATTCTGTCTCCCTCTCTCTCCTTCTCTCTGCCTCTCCCCTTCTCACTCTCTGTCTCTCAAAAATAAGTAACATTTTAAAAAATTAAAAATGGAAAAATGTTTGGAGGGAAAAAAAAAAACCCGCTAGCAGTGAAGATCTCTTTCCAGGATGCTGGGTTTTCAGAGGGCTCCATTAAGAACACAGATCGAAGCTCTCTTCCTGTTAAAATGTCAGTCCTCCAACAGCAAACACCCTCCGTGGGTCTCTGTCTTCTTGAAATGTGCTCTAAGATACAGTCACCTGCTCATGGCCCATTAGTGTATCATCGATTTTTTTCCATTAAAATCCATGCATTTTTAATTTAAGCAGCAGCATGGCAGAGTCACAGCCCTTGTGAGACCCAGACACATCCCTTCCCTGCATCAGGGGAGCCGCTGCTTGAAGCCCAGCTTACCATTCCCAAACAGGTCTTCACAGCCTGGCTACACAGGAGGCCCTCCCGATGCCACATGGCTTCTCGACGCTCTAGCTTCCTACAAGGAGCTTCAGACCATGCACACCCACGTATACACTGCACAGGTCCTTCTGCAGCTTGTGTCTTGGATGCATCCCTTCCTAGCTGCGGGAGCACGTCTCTGAACTTCACGACTCAGTTTCCTCTCCTGCACACTGGGTACCATGGTGGCCTCTACTCCGTGGTGCCGCAGAGCCTGGCATGTGATAAGCTTATTTTTGGAACTGAATCCATAGATCTCTGGTTCCTTCTTTTTAACTTTGGGTAATATTCTGTAGTACAAATCCACATCTGTTCGTTCATCGACCCCCCCTGCTAACAGAAGGTTAGGCTCTGGCCACGGTTTTGCTGTTACAAATACAACTGCAGCGAATTTATTCCAGTGTCCTCAGGCTCATGAGTGAGAACTCAACACCTAATTGTACAAGTGCTGTGTGAGAGGCAGATACATCTCCCTAGTGCCAAACTGCTCACCGACGGAGGAGCAGAGTCTCAGGCCCACCTTTATCCCACATCCTTGGTGCTGTTGGACATTTTAAATTTTGGCAATCTCATGGGGAGAGGGTGGGTAGAGAAGCTACAGTCTGGCTACCGATGACGAAACTGAAGTCCAGAGAGGGCAAGGAGCTTTCCCAAAGTCACACAGCTAAGCAGCAGTGTTTGGCTTCAGACCCATGCAGGTCTACGCTTCCCAAATGGAGACTTCTTTCCCTCGGGGCACAAATTTCCCGACTCTTACTCCACTCCTTCTCTGGCAAGCTTTTATTCATCCTTCAGGATTTTATTCAAAGGCCCCTCCCTTTTTTCCCCTCAATGAAGTTGCGCCCTACTCTATGCTTCCTGGGTTCTGCAGAGCTGTCATCTGCTCCTTGCCTGCCTCTGCGGCTAGGGCGGTTAAGAGTGTAAGTGACGGGGTTCGAATCCAAGCTCTGTCCTTTGCTGTACCGGCCTCTCTGTACCCAGTTTATTTATCTGTAAAACGATGTTAAGGACAGTACTCCTCTCATAAGGTTCCGTGGGGAGGAAGTGAGTTAAACCATGTGACACACGTAGATGGTGCCAGGCACACGGAGGGCATTCCGTGAATCCTAGCTATTATTGCTCGTATTGTCATCCAACCTCTACATTTAATCCTGCACTTGATCTTGGCTCCTCTCCCCTCTGCATGGCCTCGTGCAGCCATAATGTACGGCAACAGCCCAACTCCATGAGTCATCCCACCTTCCAAGCTGGCTGTGGGAGGTCCGCTAGGCACGGCTGTCCGTCTGCATAGCCTCGTCCATCCCCACAGCTTCAGATTCCATCCTGTCGGTTTATGGCTTCAGCCCAGGCACTCCTCAGAGCTCCGGGGTTGCGTGTCTAACGTCTCCACTGAAGTGTGTCCATTGCATCTCCAGCGGATCTAATATTCCCACTGTGGTCCTGTGGGTCCTCCCACAGGGTCCCCAGATCCAGTAAAAGGTCTCCCTCCCCTACCTTCCTCTTCTCACGCCCTGTCTGACCCACCACTCAAATCCATCAGCTCAATCCCATAATACAGCTTACATACATCCACATCTCCCTCGGCCTCCACCACCACCCTGGTCGAGACCACTGTCCCCTCACCATAGGCTGCTGGGTCTCCCTCCATGCACTCCAGCGCCTCCATCCATTTCCCATGTGGCATCCTGAGTGACTGCTTTGAAAATACACACGTGATCATGCCCTTCCTAACTTAAGATTCTCCACTACCGCACGTAGAATTAAACTCAAATTCTAGCCTCCTCTCCTATCACTCTCCCCCTGCCTGGCTCACTCTGCTCCAGCCACGCTGATGTCCTTGCCCTTCTCTCAAGGTCTCACCACAGGGCCTTTGCACATGCTGCTCCCTCTGCCTGGAAGGCACCTTTCGCTCCCTCCAGCCTCCCCACCACAGAGCTCATCTCCTGCCATCATTCCCATCAACCACTCGACTTTGGCCCCATTGGCCTTGCTGCGGTTTCTTGAACCAGCTAAGCACCCTTCCCCCTCAAAGCCTTCGTATGCGCTGTTCCCTCTGCATGGAACACTCTCCACCCAGCTCTCTGCATGGATTTCTCCCTCTCCTCAAGGTCATCACTTACAGGGCATTTTCTCAGTAAGGCATCTCTCGGTCGTCGTATTCCAACCTGGGACTCTCAGCCCCCTTTTCCTTGCTCATCACTGCTACGTTCCCAGGGGGGAGCATCCACACCCGACACACAGCGGACATTTCACACAAAGTTAATGTCTGTGTCTCCAAATTCTGAGAAGCCTCAAGAAACGCTACTTCAGTGAACTACGAAGTGACTTTCAGCTAGACTTTGTGTAGCTTCAGCTGTACAGTCTCCAGACTTACATTGTGGTTTCTCATTCATTCATCCAACCATTCAATCACTCAAATCACTCAACAAATGTGCAAGTCCCTACGGAGTCCCTACAACACAGATTCCGCGGTCGACAGCATAATGCTCCAAAGACGTCCGCGCCCTAACCCCCAGAGCCTGCGGATATGTTACCTAATGTGGCAGACGGGGTGTTGCAGATGTGATTAAAGGGCCAGACCTGGAGATGAAGAGATTGTCCTGCATCAGTCCAAGGAGGCCCAATCCAATCACACAAATCCTTAAACTTAGGACAGAGAAAGACGTGAGGGCAGAAGGTCCGAGAGATGCAGCTTCGCAGGCTCTGAAGACAGATGAAGCGGCCACGAGCCAAGGACTGTGGGCGCCTCTAGATGCTGGAAAAGGGACGCGAACGGACTCTCCCCTAGAGCCTCCGAAGGGACACATCCCTGCGGACCCGGCGGGTTTAGCCCTAGGAGACTCCTGCTGGACTTCTGACCTGAAGAACTGCAACATCAGCTTGCTTGGTTCTGAGGTACGGTAGCAACACAAGCTGACAGCGTGAAACACGTGACGGAGCTAAAGTGTAGCTGAGGCCACAGGGCCGCGGACTGGCACCGCAACGTCCTGCACGCCGGCCTGTGCTCCGCTGGGCGTCGCCCTCCTCCTGGCGCCTGCCGCTGGGGAGAACGCCACTTCCCCCCGTGCTTTTCCCGACTGCTCTGCTAGAAAGAACGACTCCCTCCCTGGGATCCTGCAGCTGTGGCTCATTTACGGCAAATAAATCGTAACAACCAGTGTTCTGTGGTTTTAAACTATTTCACACACATTTTACTCATTGGGTTGTGACCGGAGGTCAGCCAGCCAGTTCTCCTCTTGGTGGAGCCACGACGGGAACCCAAGGGCCTGGACTCAGAACTCAGCGCTAATTACCTTCAGTAATTCAGTAATCTTTCCCAGTCCAATGAGCAAAACGTGTGTGAAATCGTTTCAAACGGATCTCAGTGGTGGCTCCTGAATTCAAGTTCTCGGTCAGGGATTTCCCCTCCTGAAACGCGGGCGTCAACACAGCACCCGGGTCTCCCGGCTGTTGGCATCACGGGCGCCCGGGTTCTTCAGAGGAAGAAACGGAGGATCAAAGAGGTGGAGTCCCCTTGTCCAAGGTCCCCGTGCAGTGAGGACAAGAACTCACGTCTGTGCTTGCTCCCACCCCCCGGCAGGCCTCACCGCGGAGCCGTACACGTGACTACCCCGAGACTCCCCTCGCCCAGCTCGCGGCGCTGCACCTACTGGGCTCGGGCGAGGCCTTCTTCCCCCGCCCCCGGGAAGGGACTCCCTGCCCGGCGTCTGACCGCCTCACCACCAGGGGGCGCCACGGGACAGGCAAGGGTCCCGCGCCGTGTTGCAGCGAACAAAGGCTCTAGAACCCCAGCCACAAGGCACCAAGGAGCAGCACCTCTAAAACAACGCGGGTCCCCCACCCTACAGCGCGACGGCCCGTCGGCCTGCTCCTCGCGTCGCTCCCGCGCACCACCAGCCCATCCCGGCAGACGGGGGCCGCTCCGGGGGCCCACGGAGCGCTTCGCGGCTTGTGTTATCGCGGGCGGGGAGCCGCCGCCCAATCAGGTGGCGCAGCGCGCCGTGACGTCAGACGGCGCGAGGCCGCAGAATGCGCGTGCGTGCTGAGCCCCAGAAAAAAGGCGGGAAAAGGGGCGAGGGGAGGGGTGCGCCTGAGGGGACGAAAATCTCAGGAGAGGAGGGTCAGAGGGGTGCAGGGCGGCAGGCAGAAGCGGGACCTCCGGGGGACGGAGAGCACACGGAGAAGCACGGGGAGAGAGCAGCCCGAGGCGCCGCGCGTGCGGCAGGCTGGACCCGACGGGAAAGGCGGGGCCGGGGCGGGAGGAGGCGGCCGCGAGGGGAAGGCGAAGAAGCCACCGTGCGAGGCGAGGAGCACGCGGGGGGCAGATGGCGGCGGTAGAGACCCGGCCTGAGAAACGGCGGGACCCGGAGACGAGGCAGAGGCGTCGGGTGTGGAAAACAGGAAGGCTGGGAGCTGCGCCGGCTGCGGGAGCGACGGAGACGCACGGAAGGGGCGGGGAGGGGAGAGTGGGCGGGGCCAAGCGGACGGAAGGGCGCGTGCACGCGCGCGGGCCACAGAGAAGCCCGCGAGGGGACGCGCACGCACGCGGGCCGGGGACGCGGGCCAGAGAAACCCGCGACAGCAGGCGTACGCGCAGGGACGTGGGCCGCGCAGATGCCCACGAAAGCACGCGCACGCACGTACACGTAGGGCGCGCGACGCGCAGAAACCCGTGAGGGCACGCGCACGCACATTCACACAGGCACAGGGCCGGCGCAAAAGCCTGCGAGAGCACGTACGCCCACGCACGTACACGCAAGCGCAAGGGCGCGGCCCGGGCGGTAGGCGCTGCGGGGAGGCGCGAGGCAGTAGGGCAGAGCGCACGGCCCTGCGTGTGGCCACCGAGGTGGACGGACCGTCCCTGCCGCAGGGGGAGGGGCCGCGGGCCGAGCTGTGGGGTGAAGGCCGCCCCGCCAGCTGAAGGGAGGAGACCCCTCCATCCAGGGCTCCTCACCCCGCCCCTGACCCACTGCCCGACCCAGACCAGAGCGCGAAGGGAGGGCGGGGTGGAGGGCGCTGGGAGGATGGCGACGTGGTGACCTGGGCCAGCTGGGGCTGTCGGGGTGGAAGGGCCCAGCCTCACGTGTCACGTGGGCTCAGGCCCTGCAAAGCCTGGTCTGATTCTCGGAGACATACGGGGCCTGGGGTGGGGGGTAGAGGGTCTGCCCTCTCCAAGCCTCTCCACGCGAGTTCCAAGGAGGGAACGATTTAGGGTCTCTTAGGGATGATGGCCGCATCCGTACCCTGGCTCAGCCCCTCACCTGTGTCTGGAAGGCGCCTTGTCGCTGGGGAGGGGCCCCCCGGGCTCCTGGTGGCGCCCCGGGAGAGCGTGTGTCCAGGCACCCCTGCGGCGGTGGTCCCCTTGGCCAGGTCCTCTCCCGAGGTGGGATCCCACGTCCAGGGGGGATAATCATCCTCGTCGGCGTAGCCTTGGGAGAAAGTGGGGCGGGGACTGAGCGCTGCTGTGTCTCAGAGTCCTTGCTGCGGCGCCAGACTACCCTTCCAGAATCTCCTGCAGGGAGTCTGGGCCCCCCAGCCTGTCCCCAGTACCAGTGCAGGTGAGCCCCACGTCTTCCTCGTGGTCACAGTTGTGCTGGCCCCATGCCCCCGCAGGGCAGTCACTCAGCGAGGCCTCGACTCCCTTGCAGCCCACGTCATCCAGCCAGATGGGGCCGGTCCCGGGGCCGTAGTGGGTTTTGCCCACCCGGTGCCGGACCCTTCCACAGCCCAGCTCCCAGCAGGCCACGGTACTGTCCCGCAGGTCCCAGCCGTCATCGCACACTGTCCCCCAGCGCCCAGCATGCCACACTTCCAGCCGGCCAGCACACCGGTTGGGCCCATCGGCCAGACGCACGCGGAACGGGCCTGCTGGTAGAAGACCCCAAGTCAGGAGGGGTCAAGAGGGGCCAGCCTCTCCTCCTGTGTTCCCTCCACTCACCTGACCGCCCAGCGGTGCTCCCAGTGGGTGAGGGGGCTGGGGCTGCGGGTGACTCTGGAGAACCCCGTGCTGGGATCTCAGCCGATGGCTCCCTGGGGGGCAGAGGGCTTCGCTCTGCAGTGGCCTCAGAGGTCACCTCCCGGGGGCCTTGAGTGGTTGATGTGGCCACCGTCTTAGAGGTCCGTTCTCGGGGGGCCCGGGGAGTCCGTGTTGCCGTGGGATTTGAGGTCATCCTGTGGGGGACCTCAGTGCTCAGGGTGGTGGTGGTCCGTGAGGTCAGTTCAGGGGTCCTCTGGGTGCCCAGGACCCTGGAATGTTTGGTGGCTGACATCACGGGGGGCTGAGTGGTCGGTCGCTTTGCGGTTTTGGTCACCCACTTCTTAGTACTCTTGGGCATTTTCCCTGGGGCCCTGGTGGTGGTCTTCTCGGGAACGCTGGGGGTCAGCCTCGCCGAGGGTTTGGTGGCCAGCTCCCTGGGGAGCCAGGCGTCCGGGTCTCTACCCAGGCCAGGGATCCAGCTCCAGCTGAAGGGATCTGAGATAGAGTCCAGGCCGGGGGTCCCTGGAAGGTGGGAGGAGAGGACAGGGAAGATGGCAGACGCCATAAGTTAAGACTGTCCGTCTACACCTCTCCTCTCCTCTCCTCAGTCACCAGGTTTCCATTCACTCACTCACTCGTGACCGACCCTCTGTGCCCTTCTCACGTCCACCCTGTCCTCTCTCTGGCCTCGTGTGGCCTCACCTCCTGTAACCTCTGACTGTCCACCTCTCGCCAGTCACCAGCGAGGTCCCGGATCCGACAGGTCACTCCCCAGCTGAGACCCCTGCTCTGGCCCCACGGCCTCCAGAGGACAGGGAAGGGCCTCAGCTGCAGTGACCCCATCGTTAGGGCCGCCGCTGTTCTCACATCTCTCGGGTTAGCACTGTGTGCAGGGAAATGTTCACTCTGCCCAAAGTTTGGGCCCCTTGCTCTTGGCTCCTGGGGCGACCCGGAGAGTTGGCACCCATGCTGTGACTTCTGGACGGGCGACGGGGAGGCAGCCATAGCTTGTGACCGAGCTCCTATAAACCCTGCACACCTGCGAGTCTGCGGAGCGTCCCCGCTCGGCGGTACTTCATACCGGTTTTTAGGACAGCTTTTCTGATTTTTGGGAGTCCTTCTAGAACGTTTTGGAACTGAAGTTGGTCTGGGGGACCTCCCAGATGGTAACCCGTCACACAGGTTTGCAGTGAGCTGCGAGTGTCCCGAAAGCCGGGGCTGTGTTCTTTGCGTCCCGAGGCCCCAGCTCCTGGCACAGCGCCAGGCACTCGAGAAATGTTGGAAGCGACGGCAAGCACAGCGCCTGAGCTCACTGCAGCTGGCCCGCACTCCGGCTTCTGTGCGCCTCCCAGTGGCCCTGTCCTCCCTTCCCTTCATCTTGGGGGGCGTTCTTGGGAATGGGAGGAGAAAGAACCCCAGCTCTGCCACCTAGCTGCTGTGTGACCTTGTGCAGCTTACTTAACCTCTCTGTGCCTCAGCCTCATCAGTAAATTGAGCATAACACCCACCCACTTGGACTTATTGTGAGGTGTGAATGCAGGTCACATGTGTGAAAACACCCAGCCCAGAGCGTGGGCTCAGGAGACGGGCACTCAGTAGATGCTAGTGCAGATGTTAGTTCCCGTTCTCTCCTCCAGGAAGCCCCCAGGGACCAGCAGGGGGCTAGGGCCTCCTTACCAGTGCAGGTGACTCCTACATCTTCATTGTGAGCACAGTTGTGCTTCCCCCAGGGTGCAGCGGGGCAGTCAGACAGTGAAGCCTCGGTCCCCAAGCACCCCACGTCGTCCAGCCAGATGGGGCCGGCCCCCCAGCCGAAGCGGCCAGTGGCAGGGTCCGGCTGCCGAGCTCCGCCACAGCCCAGCTCGCGGCAGACCACGGCGGCGTCCCGCAGGTCCCAGCCGTCGTCACACACCGTCCCCCAGCGCCCGCCGTGCCACACCTCCAGCCGGCCCGAGCACCTGCTGGGCCCTGCCACCAGGCGTAGCTGGGGGGACCCTAGGGTGGAAAAGACCCAAAGAAGGAGAGAGTCAGGAGGCCGCCCAGCTGTGTCCCTCCACCTGCCTTCCATCCAGCCACTCACTAGCCCCCTGCTGTGCCACCGTCTGCACTGGGCACAAGGGGTAGAGCCCGGCACAGTCTGGGTTCCTTGAAAAGTTAAACACAGAATTACTGTAGGACCCGGGATCCCACTCCCCGGGGCGCACCCCAGATCAAGTGAGCGTGGCTGTTCAGACAGGTAGCTGCACAGATGTTCAGAGCAGCACTATTCACAGCACCAAAGTGTGCAAACTGCCTGAATGGCCGGCACTGGGTAAAGGGGCAGCAAAACGAGGCATGCACACAGAACGGAGTAAGATTCCGCCTTTAAAAGGAAGGGAATTCGGGGGCGCCTGGGGGGCTCAGTTGGTTAAGTGTCCGACTTCGGCTCAGGTCATGATCTCACAGTTCGTGAGTTCAAGCCCCGCGTAGGGCTCTGTGCTGACAGCTCAGGGCCCAGAGCCTGTTTCAGATTCTGTCTCCATTTCTCTGTCCCTCCCTTGCTCGCACTCCCTCGGTCTAATATAAAATTAAACATAAAATTTTTTTTCAAGGGAACTTGAACAGCTGCCCCAGCACAGCCGAGGCTGGAGGACGTGCGCACAAGTGCTGTGAGGTCCCCACAGGAGTCCCACTCATGGAGACAGAAAGTAGAAGGGTGGGAGCCGGGGGCTGGGGGACTAAGGAGCTGGTGTTCAAAGTGTTGGGCTGTCTGTCTGGATGACGGAAAGGTTCTACAGCTGGATGGTCGTGGCTGCACGGCCTTATGAATATATTTAATGCCACTGAACTCTACACTTGAAAATGACTGAAACGGTCCATTTTATGCTACGTATGTTTTACCATAATAAAAAGAGAGACTATGGGTCCTGGAACAAATTGCTTTCACCTGAGTCCTGACTCCCCCCCCACTTTTTTTTAGCCACATGGCCTCATCTGTAACACACAACACCCAGGGCCCACGTGGCTGGGAGTGTCACTTCGTGTAGACACATGGGGTACTTGGAACAGCACTGGCACGCACCAGCCAGTGAGTGCTGAGTGCACGGTCTAGTCGTTCAGAAAAAGGGGGGAAGAAGCCTCCAGTAAGAGGACCCATCTTCCCTCCCCCCTTGAGGGGACAGCTGTGCGAACCATGCCTTCTCATTTTCCATATTTCTCATTTTTTGATGTCATGGGGCCTTGCTGACCCGGAGAGCCTGTCCCTCTGAGGCTCAGCTAATCCCTAGAGCCAGGAAACTGCAGAAGTGTGGGGCCCGCGCCCCCACCGCCTCCACGGGGCTCTCAGCCTCCGGGCCACCGTCCACCTGCCCCCAGCCCCCCACACCTGGGTGCCCGACAACCAGAGGCAGCCTCTGCGCCCCACGGCTCGCTGCAGTGACGCCAGCCAGCGGGTCCTGAGCCCGCTCACCGGGCCTTGCCAGGTCCTTCCCACGGGACCACAGTCACGGCTCCTGCTCGGATCCCCCTCGCTCCCTCTGCCTGCTGACCCCCCCCTCCTGCCCCGGGCCTCCCTGCGAGGCCCCTGTGTTGTGTGGGATAGAAACCCACTATCTTTCCAATGACTGTCCGATCTTGATCTGCTGGCTGCACCACACCCGAATACTACTAAGGCCTGTGTTTTAAAAATGACAGCCATTGGGGCACCTGGGTGGCTCATTTGGTTTGGTGTCTGGCTCTTGATTTTGGCCCTGATGGTGATCTCATGCTTCGTGGGATTGAGCCCTACATCGGGCTCTGTGCTGACAGTTCAGGGCCTGCTTGGGATTCTCTCTCTCCCTGTCTCTCTCTCTGCCCCTCCCCTGCTTCTGCTCACTCTCTCTCAAAATAAAACATTTTTTTTAAATTAGAAAGACAACTATTGTTGACCCAGTCATTTCAGTGTTTATGAGGAGACAGCCTCCAAAAACTCAAGATGGCAACAGCAGACCACGGAGCCAAGCACAGACCCTTCTGGGCGCTCTGTTTTGTGCTCCACCCTCGCCTCCACCCCTGAGGAGACGCTCTCTGAGCAGGGAGAAAGGGTGCCTGGGGGCCGGCCAAGGGCGAGGGAGCCGAAGCGAAGACCCTGCTTCCTCGGGGAGCAGCGCAGACTCACCGGCTTCGGGCCCGGGCTCCCGCGGCGCAGTGGGAGAGGCGGGCGGCGGCGAGGCGTCTGCGGTCCCCGAGGCCTGGCTCGCCGCGGGGGGCGGGGCCCTGGACTCCGCCTCCCGCGACGCAGAGCGGTTGGCGTCCCGCGCTTCCGGGGCCGTGGGAGGGACGTACCCAAGGGGCATCCCTGCGGCGAGGGAACAGGCGATCACCACCCGCCCCCGCCCTCCGCCCGGACCCGTGCAGGCGGGGGCTTCACGGATGAGCACAAGACGCGGCAAGTGCGCAGTCGGGACGGGAGAGGGGGCCCGTGGCGTGGGGGCGACGAAACACACCAGGCCGCACTTCCCGCCCCCCCGCAGCCAGCCTGCCCCTCCGTCGTCCTCACCGTCGCACACGGCGCCGGCGTCCTCCCGGTGATGACAGTCGTGCTGGCCCCACGGCCGCGCCGGGCAGAACCGCAAGGCCGTCTCGTTGCCCCGACACCGGAGGTCGTCCAGCAGGATGGGGCCCGCGCCCTCCCCGAAGAAGGCGCCTCCGGGGGCGGCCAGCGCGCCCCCGCAGCCCAGCTCGCGGCAGGCCACCGCGGCGTCCCGCAGGTCCCAGGCGTCGTCGCACACGGTCCCCCAGCGCCCGCCGTGCCACACCTCCAGGCGGCCGGCGCACCCGTGGGGGCCGTCGGCCAGGCGCAGCCGGGGGGCCGGGCCTGGGTGCGGGGGGAGGGGAGAACACAGGCGGAGACTGCGCGGAGGCCGGCGCGGGGCGCCCCACCTGGAGTCCGCTGGCGAGAAGGCTCCGCGATGGGCAGTCACTCGCCAGGAGTCCGGCTGTGGCCTGCCCGCAGCGTCCCTGCCCCCCGGGGCAGGCCCCGGTGGCACTGGCCCTGATCCCCTCCCTCGCCTCCCTGGCCTGGCTCCCCACCCCCAGCTGCCTGCCTCACTCCTTAAAGCAGGGCTCCTCAGGCTCAGCCCCGAGGACATGGGGGACAGGTCAGGCCCTGCTGTGGAGGGTCACCCTGTCACGGTAGCACCCCTGGGCTCTGGTCCCCAGATGAGAGTAGCGTCTACAGTGTGACAACCGGACTTGGCCCAATGTCCTCAGGGGAGTGGGGGACGGGAAAGCCACACACACCCCCTCCGCTGAGAACCACCAGTCTGCATGTGCCCCCCATGTTGGTTTTAGGGGACATTTCTGTTAGGTCTTTCTGGGGTGAGACTTGGGTCCACTGGGGAGTGTGGAGTCCATCTTTCTACCCCCCAAGACGTGGGGGCGGGGGGAGTCACCCCCAGTCAGTGCTCTGGAGACGAGAACTCACCAGAGAGGCCAGCCCGCCTGCCCTGGCATCTAGCCTTGCACGTGAGGCGCCCCCTGTGCGGCTGCTCCAGGAACGAGAGGTGGGGTCGGGCACCAGCTTCCCCAGGCCCCTCAAGGGGGCTCATGTCTCCCTCCCTGGAGTTTCAGCTCGCCTCCCTCGACCTGGGCTCTGAAGGCCCGCTTCCGCCCCCACGTGCCGCCCCCCGCCCCGGGACACGGAGGGGCCACCCTCACTGCCCGCGGTCCCCTGCTCGGTGCCCCAGCCTGTGTCTCGGCGGTCTCCCCCCACCACACCCTGCGCCTCAGACACCAGCCGGCGCTGCAGACCCGTCTGTGCAGCGGGACAGACCTCACAGGTCAAGTTCTGGGTCTGGGGCTGAGCCTGTGACCTGGGTCATCTGTGTCACCTCTCTGAGCTCCTTTCCACATCTGTGAGGAGAGGGGTGAGAGCACCCACCCCCGAGGCTGTCCCGTGGGGGTGAGGCTCGGAGGCAGCAGGGGAGGCCCCCGCGGGCTGCTCAGCCCAGAGCAGGCGCTCGGTGAACGGCGTCTTCCCCTTCTCCCTCACGTGACACTGCCCCGCTGCTGGTGGGCACCTACTGTCTGCCTGCGGCCCCTGCGCGTGCCAGCCTCACCCCTGTGGGCCGCCCGGCAACCGCCCTGCGCCCGCAGTGTGTGGCCCGCAGCGGACCCACTGTCTGCCCGTGAGGGCGGGGGCTTGTTCTCTTACCTTCCGTGCAGGCGTGGATGGTGCTTAACAAGTATTGGTGGAAGGAAGGAGGAGGGGACGAGGAGGAGCGATGGGAGGGAGGGAAA